CCAAACAAAAAAATATAGTGTCACAGCTTGGGAGGCATAGAACACTGTAGAAACTGTTTACACTATAGATACTTCTCAAAAAAAAAAAAAAAAAAAGCAGAGATCAGCCTGCCTGTGGAGTCTTGCCACTCTTTGTATTCAAACATCTCTGTGAGTACTGCTCAGTTGTGTCCTGATGTTCACTTTCACCAGTGGGAAATGCTGTCATGAGGCTTGTTTTTAACTGGTTCTTTTTGTAGTTTTGTTTAAAAATGTAAAATGATTTTTTTCTTTAGACATTGCCTTCATTCTAAATCTTAGCGTTTATGCATTTACTTATTTTCTTTACGTAAGGTGAGTCTTTGCAAGCCACAAACCCAGGTTTTAGCTAAAAAACATTAAAACATATTTTTTCTTTTAAACTTTTGTGCAGTGCTAGGGCTGGCACCCAGGGCCTTATGCATGATGGGCAAAAGATCTCAGGGCCTGAGACTTGGCATCTACAGCCTTTGCCCAATGAGCCATCTTGCCAGCTCCTTACTTTGCTTTCCCATTGAGTTGGCTGGATTCTCCACCATTGTAGATCAGTATTACCGAGGCTCAGAATGTGATTCCCAAAGTAAGGGGCAGTGACATCCTTACGACTTTGAACAGAAGGACACCACAAGCGTCTCAGAAGCACTGTCTCTCCAGCTCCTGTCTTGTCTCCCACTCTCATCCTCTCCAAAAATGTTGTTCATAGAAACCATAGAAAAGTCGAAAGCTGGTTTAATGATTAGGAGCATTTCCTGCTCACGCAGAAGACCAGGGTTCATTTCCCAGTACCCACATCTGGTAGCTCTCAACTGCCTGAAACTCCAGTTCCAGCGAATTCCATGCCCTTTGCTGGTGTGCATGGATACCCATAAGCATGTGGTGTACATACTGACAAACAGGGACACAATACATGAATAATACTAATATTAATACTACTATTAATAATAATAGCCACAGAAATTCTTTCTAAAACCTCACACAAACACCAACAAGTCTGACAGAAGACACTGCTCAGTGCTCAAGCGCTGACTGATAGAATCTCCAGAAAAAAACAATCAGGGACAGTGAAGAGAGGCGACCTCATGACTAGTGGTGGAGAGACAGTTTTGGTAGCCTTAAAGAGTAAAGGAAGCTTTAGAAGATAGAACAAAAGGAAAGAGAGTCCAGAGATTGTTCTATAGGGCTCAGTCCCAATTCCGGATTCTGCTCTCAGTGTGGAGAGAAGGAAACCGCTTAGGGTCAGAACCACTGAGAGAAACATCTGAAAGTCTGTGCTCTACACTCAGTGACAGATCGTTTATCACGGAGAGTAAGAACTCCAAACAAGCGGATCAGCTGATAGAGGGGGAGAAGCAGAAAGACAAAACAATCATAAAATTAAAAACCAAAACAGAGACTTAAAATGCACAAGCCCCAGATCCCTCACTGGGCATCTGCCCCCAGACTGGCTTCTTGGGATCAGCACACCACATGGTGCCAGGCAAATCCTCTCTTCTCAGCATTGTACTGGAGTAGTGACAGGAAGCCACATTACAAAGGTAACTGCTGAGTCACTCGTAGGAAGTTCTAGAGACCCACTCTGGGACCAGGGAAAGTGTCAAGGGGCTGTGCCTTGCATGCAAAGTCTCTCTAGCTGGAGGAGAACAACTTGAGTCCTTGTTGGAAGTTCTCTACACACTACAGATGTGGTCTGAGGAACAGACTGGAGTGAGACTCATTAACTCTTAGGAGGAGGCTTGAGCAGTAAAGGCACTGTAATCTAGCTCTCAGGAGGTAGAAGAAGGAAGACTGGGAGTAATAAAAAGTAATGAGTAGTAAAAATTTTGCTGCATGGTGTTAGGCTATCAAACCTCAAGGTTGACTCCTGTGCCAGTGGTCCATTTCATCCAGCAAGCTCCACCTCCTAAGGTCTTCACAACCTCCCCAAACTACAGCACTAGCTGAGGACCAAGGACTCAAAGGAAAGTCCATAGGAACATACCACATTCAAGCCATAATAGATCCACTACTGTCTAAAGCACATCAACATTTTCCGCATCTTTTCCACACCTGAAGACTAAAAGGCATCTCCAGTTATGGCATTCTCTGCACAGCCCATGAATCACACTCTCTGTTTTCAGGTCCAATCAAAGGGACTGTATAGAGACACTCTGTACCTGTTCTTGGGCAAGATATAGACTGTTTGTAATGTCTAATTTTAATTTTGTACACCGCTTTGTCCAGTACTGTTCTCCCATCATTGCTGTTTTTAGACAGACTTCTCCAAATGATAGCACCCAAAGCTGGAAATGTCTCTCCCTTAGCTTTCCAGGGTGCTAGGGCATTTTGAAGTGGTGTGATTTCATCTTTGACACCTTTCTCTTTTCGTTTGGTCTGCAACTAGAGCTGTCTTATCGCTTTTCCTAGTCCTCATAATTTTTCCTGCCCCTGTATTTACTTTTACAATTTTCTGTTGCTCTAGAACTAATCATCAGTCTCACTCTGATTATTTTCTTTGTATTTCTACCCATAGGAACAACTATCTTAGCACAAGTTGTACTATCTTTATTCTCCCCCAAATTATTAGAGTTGAAGGGGAAATTTTTCTTAACTATTATTTGGATGTGAAATGTCTCCCAGGGCTCTTGGACTTGAACCTTGGTCCTCGGATACTGGCGAAATTTGGGAGGGTTCTAGAATCTTTAGGAGGTAGAACCTTGCTGGAGGAAGAGAACCACTGGGAACGAATCTAGAGGTTTTATAGCCTGGCCCTATCTCCTGTTCATTCTATGCTTCCTGGCTGTAGATGTGATGTGACCAACTGCACCTTGCTCCTGCTGCCATGTCTTGTAACACACTGAATGAGCCAAAATGACCCTTTCCTCCTTCAAGTCACGTCTTGCCAGATAGTTGTTCACAACAACAGGAAAACGTAACCAGTACACGGCCTATTGTGGTTGCTTCTATACTTATTATTTTCCTAGGCTATTTGTGGAAATAATATCTAGTTTGGACACATAAGCTAGGGAATTAGGGAACTACACCCTAGTTCCATGGAGAAGAATGACACTTAAACCCTATTTCAACATCATCCTATTTGAACACTGCAAATACACTAGGAGAGTATGGGTGATTTAAAAAATATCCAGCCAACAACTTAATCCCAGATGCACAGTTCCATCCCAGAAGCTCAAAAAAAAAGACATGAAAGATCCAGACAAAAAGACTTCCCAACAATGATTCCACAGCAATGAATTCTAATGGGGTGAATAAGATGAAATCCCAATGAAGAATTTAAAAGAGTGATCATAAGAGTTAACAAAGTCTAAGTGGAAACAAACTCCTAAATAAGTCAATATAGGGTATGAGAAAGAATTCAATAAAGATGCATATTTTTTAAAACTGAAATTTTCTAAATTAAAAGCTCAGTCAAAATACGAAAGAAAATAAAAGCTCAGTGGAAAGCTTTGCCAAACATGTGGATCACGTGGCTCTGATAATGTGACATTCACTTGATCTATCCTGTTGGAGAGGCTTTCTATTGTCTTCAATTGATTAATAGCTGGAAGAGTTATTCTAACCCCATGCTGTGGGCTTACTATTGATCCATTTCACAGTTTCCTTTGCTGTACAGAAGCTTGTCATGGTCATGAGGGGTGAACACCACTACCATTATTCTGCTAAATGGAAAGTGTATCAAAATGCCCTCTAAATTCTTATTTCTATACCCATAGTTTAGTGAAATTCTCAAATCTTATCAGAGAAATTTCTTGTTATAGTATGTACCAGTTAACATGAAATGCAACTGGTCAAAGTTCAGAGTGTCTGTGGAGTGCTCAAACACAAATAGGACACTAAATCCTCCCCCAAGGCTCAGGGACCATCATAGAAGAGAAGGCAGAAAAGTCCTAAGAACCAGACGTCAGGGAGGACTGGAGTAAAACAGTGTCTTTAAGATGTGACAGAACTCCTTTATTCATGAATCACAGAAATTGTGGTTGCCTGCTTAAGACATATGCAAGATCAAGCCAGTCAACATTCCATTACAAAAGGGAGAGGAGTTCAAAAGGCCCTACCCCTAGTTGGCAGTTAATGGCTTCTAAAGACAGAAGAGTCTATCTTCTTTAAGGCTGTGGCCCCTAATAGATTGACTATACACCGGTGGATGGATGGCTTCATACCTGTGAGTGTATTAGCAGAACAAATTGGTCTTGGTAGTTATGTGTATGAGTGAGTAAGAGTGTGTGTGTGTGTGTGTGTGTGTGTGTGCATATAATTACCAAGTCCAATTTATATATATATATATGTATATAATATATATGAGGACAGGAAGTTGGGAGGCATTGGGAGTGGAAAATAGATCTGAAAGGAGTCAGGATTATAAATGGGTAGTCAATAAGATCAAAATATATTGCATTCATGTATTAAACTATCAAAGAGTTAATAAAATACTAAATTTTTAAAAGAAAAAGCTTGATAAAACAGTTGTTAAATTTCTTATAAACCAATTATCATAGAATTATCTTTTATGTCTATTAGCCTCCTAGGATTTACAGTTTCTGTCTGGATAGTGCATGATGGAAGGGTCAAGTGGGAGAAGCATAGATATTTTATTCAGCCCCAAATATTAGAGTGACAACTACCCAGTGTTAATGCTTCTATAGGGTTCTGAGTCTGATTCAGGGTCCATGTTGTGTCTGTATCCGTCTGTGTATCTAGCTATCTCTGTCCTTCAGGAATAATTCACACCATCCTTGATTTGGTTATTCACAGGTGTTTGTTTTAAAAGTGGTGAATCTAAAAAAATTATTTTCTACACCATTGCAAGCATTTTATAGGAGAATTATGATGCATTAAGAACAAAAGCTAAACGTCAATCTTATCTCCAAAAACAATGTAGACTTTGTTTGCTCTTTTTTTTTCTAGAAGTGGTAGAAAGAAAATTATAATTCCCAAAATCCCAAGACTTTGTTTTTCTTTCTTTACATAGTTTTGATTAAACATACCAGAATGTGATGCGATATACTAACATAGCAGTTGTAAATTTGGCCCACATTCTCAGATCTGCAAAAGATAATATTTCACATTAAAATTTCAACCAGATTTCTTACTCAAAGCCACCTCCTCACTGGGAAAAAATGGGAAGTTAACTTCTTGTTATTCCCACAGGTGTCTTATCACCATGTGCTCTCACATCCAAGAAATATAAACAAGTTGGTTGTGGGGCCATATGGAGTCCTGAGGCCTTAAGAAGAATCTAAAACTATTGACTATCAATGTATACCAAGCCCAAAGGTATCTGCATATAGTTCTTTATTTGAACAAAGGATGAAAAAGAAGAAACACAACGACAAATATTAGTGTCTCCAAGCAGTAATCACTAGTTTTGGAAATCATACTCCTGATTAAATCAGCAAGGGCCTGGAAAGATGGCACTGAGGTGATGTAAGATGCTTTGGGGGCAAGTATGAGGATTCTAGTTTCCTTCACGGAAGCCATGTTTTAAAGGCCAGGTGTAGTGGTGCATACTTGAAATCCTGGCAAGGCAGATGTAGGAGGGTGTCTGGGCTTTGATGAAAAGACAGTCTAGCTGAATAAGTAAGCTCCGGATTCAGTGAGAGACCGTGTCTCAAACAACAAGGTGGAGTGCAATTGAGGAAGACAGTTGATGCTAACCTCTGACCTTCACACATGCACTCACACTTGCACACATACAACAAATGCATGAATGCGTGCTCACATACTCACACTCATACATGTGCACGCGCGTGCGCGCGCGCGCACACACACACACACACACACACACACACACACACAGGAAAAGGTGTGGGAACACCAGACCTTGAGCAGAGACCCACTTCCCCTTCTGCCTGGGAGTAGGCAGCTGTAAGACAATGTTTGGTAAAAACATGTTTACTAAAAACGATACAATAAGTTCCTGGCCACTTCCCCTTCTGCCTGGGAGTAGGCAGCTGTAAGACAATGTTTAGTAAAAACATGTTTACTAAAAACGATACAATAAGTTCCTGGGAAAGGCCTTCCCACGGAAACCGCCCTGACCTTGACCTTGTCCAAAGACTAACCGCACCTTCAAAAACCCACACACATCCACCTCTGGTGTCAGAGCAGAACCAGCCAAGGGAGAGGAGAGAGCAGAAGTTTCTCTGGTGGGAGCTTTTCTTAGGAAGTTTTTCGTGAACCTTTTTGGAGCCTGTTTAAAGTTTTCTTTATATCATTGAACGAGTCTCTGTGTTGTCAATACCCGACACCCTCCGCACGTTCTCGGACATAGGCCGCGCAGCAGACGTGACAAAAGGCAGTCAAGTATCAAGGAGAGTAAGGACTTAGTGAGAAAGACTGGTGAGTTTTAGTGATCCTGAACTTGTCAGTATGATGAGAAAAGTAAGTTCTGGATTTCCAGAATTCTTCCTTCCTGGTGTTGATTGTTACAGACACCAGATGTGCCTCAATAGATGATTTCTTCCACCAGATGTGCATCACAGTCAAGTAGTGCTTCCTTCAAAAAACTATCAAATTATTTGTTTCTCAATTTTCCACTGCTGTTCACATATCCAGAGGTGGTTTATATTATATTTTTGTGGCCGTTTCTGGGATTATAAACAAATTTCTCTTAAAATTGTATTTTTAAAGTTTTCTTATGTCGAGGACTGGAAAAATCTCTCATACTTTAAAAGCATTACTGCTCCGTTTATAAGGCATTGGGTCTAATATAGTAGTTTATATAAATTATAAAACTAAAACTTAATAAAAATTCTACAACTTGAGGAATTTCTATACATATTTATTTATTTGTTCATTAGCATAAGTATATTTCCACATTTCTAAAATACCCCTCCTCTTCCTCATTTGATTCAACACCCTAGCCAAATCCTGGCTATTGGTAACTTCTTGAAGTGATCCCTCTCAGGATGTCTTACAGAGCCATGCAGGAGATAACTCCTTAGTCTGACTTCTTTTGTGTAGCAGTTCAGCACAATACCTTGAGATTTGTCCAGTGTGGGGAAGTAACAAAGTTCATTCCTTTTTACTGCTAATTGTGCTCTACTGTATAGATTGACCATGATTGGTTTATCCATTATAGAGGTGGATAATTATTTTGGCATCATTTGTTGAGAGGGCTGTCCTCTCCACTGAATGACACCACTTTTCCAAAACCAATTGGTTATTTATGTGTAGCTTTGTGTGGGGACTATTTATTCATCTGCTGATGATCATTTGGGTCATTTTCTGCTTCAGGCTGTCATCAAAGCTGACACAAATATCTTCACACATGTCTTTATATGGGTATGGATTTCATACATTTTGGATAAATACCTATATAGGGTTGCTGGGTAACAAGATTCATTTCACAAGAAACTGCTAAAATCTTTTCCAGTGTGGCTATAGAAGTTTGAATTCTCAACAGCATAAGGGAGTTCTTATTGTGCTACATCTTCCTCAACATTTGAGCTACGGGGCTTTTTAGCATCAGCTAGTCTAATAAGTACATAGTTATATATCATTGTCATTTAAATTTCCATTATCTTGACAACTGTGCTGACTATCTCTCTTGCCATCCATATATCTTCTTTGGTGAAATATTTATGCAAATTTTGTGCCCACTTTAAACCTAGATTATTACCTTTACTACGGCATATGATGGCATGTCTATAGTGATATTCTGGACACAGGCCTGTATTGCATATTCTGCAAAACAGAAAAATATTCTCCTAGGTTATAGTTTACATACTTTGTTAAAATAATATATCTAAATAGCATGAGTGTTTTTAGTTTATGAAATCCAATGAATCTATTATTCCTTTTCTGGATTTTTTCCTATGGCCCAAGATATGTTTCACAATGTCTCAACATTTACTTCCCTGGGCTTTATACTCCTGTGTTTTACATGATTCAACTCATCTCAAGTTTACATTATATACTGTGTGATCAACATTTTCTTTTCTTTTTCCTTACCCTTTTTTCTCTGTCTTTCTTCATGTGGGCAAACAATCATTGTGACTTCATTTGTTGAGAGGGCCAGCATTTCTCCACTGAACACCACCACATTCCAAAATCCATTGGCCACATGTGTGTAGCTCTGTTCTCTGACTCCTCGTTTGGACACTTTGATCTGTTTGTCTCTTATTCCACCCATACAGTATAGCTTTAAGGTTGTCTTGTATTTTTTTTGTATAACAGAAGTCCTCTAATTCTCCTCCTCCTCTTCTTCTTCTTTTTGTTATTTTATGTCATTCTTTTTCTCTATCCATTTCATAACCACTCAATTATTTCTAACACACACACACACATACACACACACACACACACACACACACACAGACACTTACTCACAGAGAGAGAAAGAGAGAGAGAGAGCTCCAAGAATGTGTCTGGAAAGTGTGATCCTATAGATCTACCGGGGAATGTGAGATACTTATTACAGGAATTTTAGGCGGGAAAGGCCTATCTTTAGGAGTTCAGTAGATTAGGCTGGGCAATATATCTTAATATATCAGTTAGAGATGATTAATAGTGGAAAACAAAGAAAATATATTTAACCGACATGAGAAGAGGAACCACTGGGAAGAGGAACAGATCAGGGATCCAGTGGCCCCCGATGTCCACCTTTGGGGACTGTCATGAGACTGATGTTTAAATGGAAGAACTGAGGCACATGGCAAGAAATGTGCATGGTTAAGCAGCAGTTTAGATCCAGGAGTAACCTGGTTATCTTTAGCTGATTTCTGGTTCTGCAGACATTATTGTGCTGTTGCTTAAGGGAGTAGGCTGACTCCCATCAGATGGCTAGTCCTCTTCCATGGTGCAACCTCACCATCATAGATTCTACCCTCATTTTGGAGTGGCCCATCAGATGAGGCTTGTGTTGCTTAGGGATAAATTCTCATTCAAATACTTATTGCCCAGTTCCTAGGATCCAATGTGATTAGAAGATTCAAGAGTACAGGTTAAAGAGTCAAAAATGGAGCCAGAGGGGTACAAAATGGAGTCTGTTTGAGTGATGGCCAGTGTTCTCATTAATACTGAGGCTCTTCATTCATGAACATGGTCTCTTTTGCATTGGTGTGGGTTTTCTTATTTTTACTCATTAGTGTTTCATAGTAGATTTTTGTGGTGTGTGTGTGTGTGTGTGTGTGTGTGTGTGTGTGTGTGTGTGTGTGTAGGCAAGAGGTCAGTGACAGGCATAGTCCTGCACTGTGTTCAACCTTTCATTTTGAAGAGTCTGTCATTGACCCAGAGCTCACCAATTCAGAAAGAACAATTGGCCAGAGTGCTGTGAAATCTTTCTGTTTCCACCTTCCCATCAATAGGGTTACAAGCAGGTACTACCATGCCCAGCTTTTACGGCAGAGTTAAGAATTTTAACTTAGCTCTTCATGCTTGTGTGGCAACCATGTTACCAAGTGAATATCTCCCAGCCTGTTTCATAGTTTTCAGCCTATAAATCTTACACCCATTTTGTGAGATGTGTCCTTACTTTTTTAGCCTATTGAAAGATCTGTTTGAACAATTTTTGGAAAAACAAAAACCCAGGATAGCCAAAACAATCCTGTACAATAAAGGTTTATCTGGGGGCAACACCATCCCTGACTTTGAGCTCTACTATAGAGCTATAGTAATGAAAACAGCCTGATATTGGCACAAAAGCACACAGTGGAATCAAATTGAAGACCCCGATATCAACCCACACACCTATGAGCACCTAATATTTGACAAAGAAGCTAAAAATATAAACAGGAAAACATATTCAACAAATGGTGCTGGTTTAAATGGCTGTGATCATGTAGAAGAATGCAAATAGGTCCACATCTTTTGCTATGCACAAAATGGATCAAAGACCTCAATATAAATCCACCCACACTGAAATGAACCTCATAGAAGAAAAAGTGGGAAATACACTTGAGTGAACAGGGCAAAGATCTTCACCACCCTACATCTGCCAGAGGACTGATTTCTAAAATATACAAAAAACTCAAGAAACTACACATCAAACTGCCAAATAATCCAACTAAAAATGGGATACAGATCTAAACAGAAAACTCT